GAATTTTTGATTTATCAATGTATTATTAGCAACTAAAATGTTTATATACATCTTTTTAGACATTGTTTGTTTATATTTGTTAATTTACAATGTACAGGCTAAAAAATTGGTTAAATACCGGTTGGCTGACGCAACAAGACGTTCGCGAATGTTCGGGAAGCTATTCCTTTGTCTGAATACGTCGTGACGTCACGATTCGCGACGTCACAATATGAATCTTTAATTTATCAATGTATTATTAGCAACTGAAATGTTTATATAAATCTTTTTAAAAATTGTTTGTTTATATTTGTTAATTTACAATGAACAGGCTAAAAAAATTGTTAAATACTGGTTGTCTGCACAACAACACGTTCGGGAATGTTCGAGAAGCTATTCCTTTGTTTGAATATGTTGTGACGTCACGATTCCCGACGTCACAATTTAAATCTTTAATTTATCAATGTATTATTGGCAACTGAAATGTTTATATAAATCTTTTTAAACATTCTTTGTTTATATTTGTTAATTTACAATGTACAGGCTAAAAAATTGGTTGAATACCGGTTGGCTGACGCAACAACACGTTCGCGAATGTTCGAGAAGCTATTCCTTTGTTTGAATACGTCGTGACGTCACGATTCGCCACGTCACAATATGAATTTTTAATTTATCAATGTATTATTAGCAACTAAAATGTTTATATACATCTTTTTAGACATTGTTTGTTTATATTTGTTAATTAACAATGTACAGGCTAAAAAGTTGGTTAAATACCGGTTGGCTGACGCAACAAGACGTTCGCGAATGTTCGGGAAGCTATTCCTTTGTCTGAATACGTCGTGACGTCACGATTCGCGACGTCACAATTTGAATCTTTAATTTATCAATATATTAATAACAACTAAAATGTTTATATAAATCTTTTTAGACATTGTTTGTTTATATTTGTTAATTTACAATGTACAGGTTAAAAAAATTGTTAAATACTGGTTGGCTGACGCAACAACACGTTCGGGAATGTTCGAGAAGCTATTCCTTTGTTTGAATATGTCGTGACGTCACGATTCCCGACGTCACAATTTAAATCTTTAATTTATCAATGTATTATTGGCAACTAAAATGTTTACATAAATCTTTTTAGACATTGTTTGTTTATATTAGTTAATTTACAATGTACAGGCTAAAAAAATTGTTAAATACTGGTTGGCTGACGCAACAACACGTTCGGGAATGTTCGGGAAGCTATTCCTTTGTTTGAATATGTCGTGACGTCACGATTCGCGACGTCACAATTTAAATCTTTAATTTATCAATGTATTATTGGCAACTAAAATATTCATAGAAATCTTTTTCTAGACATTGTTTATATTTGTCAATTTACAATGTATAGGCTAAAAAATTGGTCGAAGGCTATTTCGACAGAACTTTCCTCGCTTCTGAAATACAGCCCAACAAATACTGCTTTTCTGAAAAATTATACCCATAAAATTTGATTTTAAAAAAGCCTAATTTTGACAAATTACGCTAATAAAATAGATTCTAATAAAATAGAGGGTGGGCGGGCGGGGTTACTGTCTGTAAATAAAAGATTGTAGAAAAAAGTTAAACTTAACCCCGCCCACCGTGTTCTTTCATTTTTACTTCCCGAGCGTAAGCAAAGGAAGTATTGTAATCGAGTCCGTCGGCCGACTCTCTACTTTTACGTTTTCTCGATCTTTCATGACCCCTAGAAAACGTAGAAATGGGTCTCCTATTTCCGTCTGTCTGTCCGTCTGTCCGTCCGTCTGTCCGTCCGTCTGTCCGTCCGTCTGTCCGTCCGTCTGTCCGTCCGTCTGTCCGTCCGTCTGTGCGTCCGTCTGTCCGTCCGTCTGTCCGTCTGTCCGTCTGTCCGTCTGTCCGTCTGTCCGTCTGTCCGTCTGTCCGTCTGCCGTCCCGGATTTTTATTAGACAGATAATCTCCGAAAGTACTCGACCGATTGTTGTGAAATTTTGTACTTATATTAAGAATATCATGTAGATGGTAAAACGCTAACCAAAATTTGTCTAATCATCCTCACCACTTATGCGATGACGTCACTTCAAAATTGTACATAGTAAATGGGTTTTCAATTGTATAAAATAACATAGTCCTACACATGTAGTTTACAACTCTGAATCGACTTTTCACCCGAAACGTCCAGCTTTTTGGAAAAAAAATCAAAATTATAAAACAACATTTTGAAATTTAATTTTTAATCTGCTAACCAGAATGCTTTGGAATGTTGCAGATGTTTTAAGGCTATGAAGAGCATCATAAATCTTTAGTCAAAAAATATTTGCTTATCCCCTCCAAAAACTTGATGACGTCAGCTCAAAAGTTTGTGGAATAAATCATATCTAAAATGTACAAAATATGATGAGTCTGTACTTGTGATATATATACACATATTTTTTGGATTTGCATATACAGGGTGACTCAAAAAAATTAATGAATGCGTAAATATATTTTACTGATTTACTCAGAAACTACAAAACCGAATGCTTTGAAATCTTGCAGATGTTTTAAGGTTATAAAGAGCATAATAAATGTTTAGTCAAAATATATTTGCTTATCCCCTCCAAAAACTTGATGACGTCAGCTCGAAAGTTTGCCGAATAAATCCTATCTAAACTGTAAAAATATGATGAGTCTGTACTTGTAATTTATCACTCCATTCATATTTTTTGGATTTGCATATACAGAGTGACTCAAAAAATTTAATGAATGCGTAAATATATTTTATTGATTTAATCAGGAACTACAAAACCGAATGCTTCGAAATCTTGAAGATATTTTAAACTTATCATAAGCATGGTAAATTTTTGATCAAAATGTATTTGGTCGTCCCCCCTAAAAAATTTATGACGTCACCACAAAATTTTGCTGAATAAATCCTATCTAAAATGTACAAAATATGGTGAGTCTCTTCTTGTGATTTATCATTCCATTCGAATTTTTTCGATTTGCATATACAGGGTGACTCAAAAAAATTAATGAATGCGTAAATTTATTTTATTGATTTAATCAGGAACTACAAAACCGAATGCTTTGAAATCTTGCAGATGTTTTAAGGTTATAAGGAGCATAATAAATGTTTAGTCAAAATATATTTGCTTATCCCCTCCAAAAACTTGATGACGTCAGCTCGAAAGTTTGCCGAATAAATCCTATCTAAACTGTAAAAATATGATGAGTCTGTACTTGTAATTTATCACTCCATTCATATTTTTTGGATTTGCATATACAGAGTGACTCAAAAAAATTAATGAATGCGTAAATATATTTTATTGATTTAATCAGGAACTACAAAACCGAATGCTTCGAAATCTTGAAGATATTTTAAAATTATCATAAGCATGGTAAATTTTTGATCAAAATATATTTGGTCGTCCCCCCTAAAAAATTTATGACGTCACCACAAAATTTTGCTGAAAAAATCCTATCTAAAATGTACAAAATATGGTGAGTCTCTTCTTGTGATTTATCATTCCATTCAAATTTTTTCGATTTGCATATACAGGGTGACTCAAAAAAATTAATGAATGCGTAAATTTATTTTATTGATTTAATCAGGAACTACAAAACCGAATGCTTTGAAATCTTGGGAATATTTTAAAGTTATTATAAGCATGGTAAACTTTTGTTCAAAATGTATTTGTTCATCCCTCCTAAAAAAATTGATGACGTCACCCTTAAATTTTGCTGAATAAATCCTATCTAAAATGCAAAAACTATGATGAGTTTGTACTTGTGATTTATCATTCCATTCATATTTTTTAGATTTTCTTAAGAGGTGGTTCAAAAAAATTAATGAAGTCAATTTATTTTATTGATTAAATTAAAAGCAACACTTATTATTAGTATTACACCCCAACCAACCCAATTTGGTAGACACAAAATGTGTTAAAGGAAAAACTCAGTTGAAACATAAGGGTAGCACGCTTATTTACATCGACTTTAACATTACAGACCTGCATTTGTTTTATGCGCTCACTTGGTTCCGCGAATGTGGAATAGACATGTTTATAATCAACCAATTGTGAATTTCACCGTCAAGAATTAAAATAAAACCCAATGTTTTATATAATAAGCGGAAGTCGAAGCAATAAAACCAATGGTCGTTTTGTTTACAGTTTCTCTGTTTGACTCTCACGTATGCTGTTACGCTTGTCGTCTTAAATTAAGAATGTTTATACATAAACGATTTTCAGTTGCCCCTCATATTACTAGACAGCCGATTTCTGTCGGGCTACGTCACGATTATAGGGGGGGACGTGCTGGATCGCCGGGTGATAGATAATCACTGAATTTAATCGGTACTAATTCCATAAATATAATTAACGATTTATTAATCAAACGGCTAAGTAAATGAGAACGGGAATTAACAGCAGAGTGCAACGAAACAGCGTTATTCTAATCTCAAATAAACGAAGTGCAGTCCGCAACCGCAATGAATTCGCATCCCGTACGAGCCGTACCGAGTTTGGCCTTGCCTAGCCCGACAGAAATCTGCTTTCTATATATTACACACCGGCGCCGTATACGTGAGTAAATTGTTTCGTTATTTTATTGATTATAAGAAATCAATATTCAAAACGACCCGATTCATTTTCCCGAAAATTTGGGAATACAATAATTTTATTCTTAGTATTACACTACATCTATCCCAACTGATATACGTGTCCTTGCAAAAATGTTGATGACGTCATCACAATTTTTTTTTAAATTCCCACTACAAAAATGTAATGAGAAAAAAAAACACAATAGGCATGCAGTCGTCAAGTTTCCGACAGCGAGGGAAGTACTGTCTAAACTCTTTAGACCAATTTTTTTTTATTTGTCGTTAGCCGGGGGGCGGCGTTTAATTATAAAATCCTTATTTCTCTACGAGAAATAAAAAATATGTTTTTGAGTATAGTGTTGTTCAAAGAATACTATATTAAGAAAAAAAACCACAAAGAATTAAGCCCCACCCATATCCATCCCAAGCTCAATTGTGATGAATGTCACTGCTCTTCCCCATTACACCATCGACCAACTCGACTACTCCGGAATCACCGTGAGAGATATCGAGGTCCAATCCCAAGGTACTTCTTCCAACGTGTTCAACACCTTCTGGCAACAATCCGACGTGGACTTGTCCAGAGGTATGGACTTCCAGGAAAAAGGTTCCGTCTTCATCCGCTTCACCCACCTCCAACACCAACCCTTCACTTACAAGATCACCGTCAACAACGCCAACCCCGCAACGAAACTGGGTACTTGTCGCATCTTCCTAGCTCTCAAATTCGACGAAGGAGGCAGCACTTGGTCCTTCCGCAATCAAAGACTCATGTTCATCGAACTGGACAAGTTCACGGTGACGCGTAAGTGACGCCGACTGTGGCGAACCACCACTATATTGTTTTTTCAGTGAAGCAGGGTGCGAACACCTTCACTCGTGCCTCCAGTGAATCCACCGTGACTATCCCGTTCGAAAGGACTTTCCGCGACTTGGACACCAGACGACCCGGAGCAAACACCGCAGAGTTGGACCAATTCAATTTCTGTGGATGCGGATGGCCCCAACATTTGCTCATTCCTAAGGGAACCGTCGAAGGAATGGCAGGCGAACTCTTCGTGATGATCTCGAATTACGGCGACGATAAAGTGGACCAGAACATCGACGGAGTTTGCAGCGATGCCGGAAGTTTCTGCGGGATCAAGGACAAGTTGTATCCTGATCGTCGTTCGATGGGATATCCGTTCGATAGGTTGCCACGAGAGGGCGTCAACAATCTTCAGCAGTTCTTGACACCCAACATGCGCGTGGGGAACGTCACCATCAACTTCAAGGACAAGACATTCAAACCAAAGGAGGCTTTTGTTTAATCGGGATTTTGAAGATGATCTTTGTAACGACTTTGACTTGACTCGTAAATAAACATATTTAGCATGCAAATCTGTTGTATCATTTTTACTAAAACAAAAACACCGAGCATTAGAAAATTTATTTATTTATATTAAATAAGTACACGAGCAACAATCACATCTACAAACTCATCCCTAACCTTCCTTACATAAACATACATGATAAATCTGACTATATACAAATGAATACACTCCTACCTAACTAGACCTAACAATTCCAACCTATAATTTCAATCGATTTGTAAATTTTGTAGTATGGTCTTCTCATCTAGCTTTTCTGGAGCACTACCACCACTAAACAAACCCCACCAGGACGCCTTCTTAACCCTCTTAGTCTCATCGGCTTTGAAACACGCAGACTCTTTCAACCACTCCGAGTATTTATCGACCATGCTTTTAGTGTGAGTATCTAGTTCGTCGACGGATGGAGCCTTACCACCGTAGTCTGCCGGGAGGATTTCATGAGGAATTCCCTCAGGGATCATACCTAAGCAGAACTGTTAAAACTTTAGACGCTTCAGCGACAATATATTACCTTTATGAAACTTGATCAAACTTAAAATCTCCGATCGTACTAATGGTACTACGATTCTCATGATGTGGTGTATCCAGGAGGTCGTGTTCAGGATGTGGATGCCTTTAAGTCATCTGGGTGGGCGTCCTAAAAGACACAATCGAACTGTCAAGCTTCAAACACCCGAAACTTACCTGTATGTAGAACATGAAGGCTTTTAAAGCTGAAAGACTGACTCAGGCAAGATGGCCAATGCTAACCCCTCTCATATCGAAGATGACAACATAACTACAACACAAACCAAATCAGAAATGAATTAAGTACTTCAATCGTAGCATTACCCTTCAGCTAGCCCATCCTCCGACAACACCCAGTCGTTGTACATGCAAAACCCCTTGACAGCGTCGCTGAAGATCATCTTAGTAGGATCCGGATCCCTCACACTATACAACAACACCCTGTACCCCTCAGGTATGGTCTTAGGTAGCCGAATCAAATTCCTAGAATTACGCATAATCATGACAACCAAACTGTGCTGTCAAAAAAATCAAAATTAGACGTCCCATTTCCAAAAGGTCCTCGAGCTGTTATGCATTCAAAATTTTAGTATGAGTTTGTTTTTAAAAAACCTGCCAAAATACATTTTTTCATACAAGTGAGCATACACTGCATGTGAGTTGAGAGCGCAAGAAATAATAGACAAAATTAGGGAGGTCGAAATCCTTCCTTAGGAGGAAAGGACACGAAGAGCGACAGTGACTCAGCGTGCCCTTCTGGTGACTCCGTAGGGCCACGGCGTCATCGGTCTTCATTCCCAAAAACCCCCTGGGGTTTTATTCATCGAAATATTACATTTCAAACACCTTACGATATATAAAAGAAAACACTCGCGAATTGACAGACATGCACATATGAAAAAGGAACAAACGGACAATTCTATACATCTGTTTGGGATCAATGCAAATATTTGAATATCACAAATTTAATAAAACAAAGCAAAAACTGAATCAAGTAACTGGATGCAAATACACAAGTTATTACGGGCGTGTGGCGGCAGATCGTTTTTTTTACACAACTAAAGTACCCCTGGGGTGTTGTAACACAAACGGGGTTTGGGGCTACCGATCTGGAGCTGTTCTCCCCCCACGACGGTGATTCTATCTGTCGCAAAGCCTACCCCACACGCATATCTCCATTACGAACGTGCCCTGCAGAACTAGGCCATTACGGTCGCCAGACCCGCAAGAGGATCTAGGCTAGCACGAAGCCTAGAACTTTACAACATCGGCGGCCGCCCCTGAATCTATCCAAAACTGTGGATCTGTACAGGTGACACGATAAATCTCGCCAGCTCGACTAGGAACCGAACTTCGTTTCTGCCACGTTTTCTGTGTCATTTAACCTCAATTCCATTTTTAAATATTCAATCTCTTATAACTTTGATATTAACAACAACTGAACAAGAGTTAAAGTTTCAACGAGCAATAAACAACATTTAAATTCGCCAAATAATTCTTGCGTGAGATTAAAATTGGACATCAAATAATTTATATGATAGACACATTCATCAACAAAATATTTACAAAATAAAACTTAACAAGGATTTATGAAATAGAAGATCTGGTGTGAAATAAACTTGTACAAATAGAAATATTATGTGAGGTTAAAACAGTAGAACATGAGATTTACGTTCAATTAAAATTATACAACAAATAAAATTACTGAAGTTAAAACTGTGAGATTGAGAAATATTGTATGAGGTGAAAATTTGCAAAGTTAACAAAATTTACATGAAATTAATAATTGCCACACTTTATCAACGATTCAAACAAAGAGTTTACATTATGCCAAATTGTATCATGATCTAAGTGATGGGTTACTTCAAAAAACAATTTACTTTGAGATTTTAAAATACCGCGAACTGGTTACCCCAACAAAACACATAATAAACAAACACAAAAATATCCAATCATCGCTCCGAGGGAAAAAGCGTCTCGGTGATGTTATTAATCTCCAGCGTCGCGAGGACGGACCTCTATCAATCTGTAGCGTTGTGAGGGCATGCCTCGATTAATTAATCAATCTGTAGCGTTGTGATGGGATGCCTGGATGAATTAATCAATCTCCTGCGTTGTGAGGCATGCCTCGATGAATTAATCATGATAACGATGATAACCACCTAAGGGAAGAAAATATCATAACCCCCGCCAGTTCGCAGTATAATGAACTTGTTTAACTGCCGTAAATGAACAATTAGCAATCTTGTGTGAAGAATTAAGAAGTGTTATAATGTAACGCTTACGTATATGCATCCAGAAGCTTATTCGTAATTAAACAATAAGGTGTTTCTCTGACTAAGTGAATTTCATGAAATCTTCTAGCAAGTGGTTTATTTAAATAATCCTGATTGTTAAATTGTGTTTGCACTAGCTGACTATTAAGAAAAACTAACTTGATTGGTGAATTTACAAACAATGAAACAAATTTACAGCACGTGTTTCGTGTGGACCGGAAGTTCGCATTTTCCGATTAAAAGGCCGCAAGAATTGACCGCGCGGGTTGGGGACAACTGTACATTATGAAAGTTACGATTGATTGTCGTTAAACAAAGGCTTCCTCTCGTTTTATTAACTACCAAACCAACTAATTTAAACCTAGCGCTTACCACGTGGTTACACTCACACAAGCACATTCAGAATGAATCTACGCTCTCTACCAGCCAACCAACCATTAAACCCGACGTGCATATTTGGTTGCCTATGTTTAACGATTTCCTTTTTGTGATTGAATTTTTTTTCAAATTCAAATTATTCAAATGTGATTTCGCGACGCTGTTAATTAATTACAGCGCGAAAACTTTAATTTAAATTCGGTCACCACAATATATATCTATAAATAAATTAATAATTCAATAAATCCCTAACACAAGATCTAAACTTGACGCGTTTGGTATCAAATAACAAAAACAATGAGTTTGCTCCTAAATTGTTAGCGGTGGCCATCATTTTCGTAATCAGATGATTTTTAGATCTATTAGTTGTCGATATTGGAAGCCTAAAGATTGATATACTGCGTGTTATTCTGCTCTCCGGTGGAGGTATGAAAAAAGACAGCTTTCCTAGTAGGTATTAGCCCCGCCCACCCGCCCTCTATTTTCTTAGAAGGTAACTTATTTGCCAAAATTAATCTTGTCTTAGCAAGTATTAGCCCCACCCACCCGCCCTCTATTTTCTTAGAGAATAAGTCATTTGACAAAATCATCTTGTCTTAGAAAGTATTAACCTGCCCTCTATTTTCTTATAAGGTAAGTCATTTCCTAAAATCAATCCTGTCTTTTCAAGTATTAGCCCCACCCACCCGCCCTCTATTTTCTTAGAGAGTAAGTCATTGCCAAAATCAATCTTGTCTTAACAAGTATTAGCCCCGCCCACCCGCCCTCTATTTTCTTACAAGGTATCATCATTTTCCAAAATCAATCTTGTCTGAGCAAGTATTAGCGTGCCTTCTATTTTCCTAGAAGGTAAGTCATTTGGCAAGATCAATCTTATGTTAGCAAGTATTATCCCTTCCCACCCGTCCTCTATTTTCTTAGAAAATAAGTCATTTGCCAAAATCAATGTTGTCTTAACAAGTATTGGCCCTGCCCACCCGCCGTCTATTTTCTTACAAGATAAATCATTTTTCAAAATCAATCTTGTCTTAGCAAGTATTAGCCTGCCTTCTATTTTCCTAGAAGGTAAGTCATTTGGCAAAATTAATCTTATGTTAGCAAGTATTATCCCTGCCCACCCGCCCTCTATTTTCTTAGAACATAAGTCATTTGCCAAATGCAATCTTGTCTTAGCAGGTATTAGCCCCACCCACCCGCCCTCTATTTTCTTATAAGGTAAGTGATTTAGTAAAAATCAATCTTGTCTTATCAAGTATTAGCCCCACCCACCCGCCCTCTATTTTCTTAGAGAGTAAGTCATTGCCAAAATCAATCTTGTCTTAACAAGTATTAGCCCCGCCCACCCGCCCTGTATTTTCTTATAAGGTAAATAATTTTTCAAAATGAATCTTGTCTTAGCAAGTATTAGCCTGCCTTCTATTTTCCTAGAAGGTAAGTCATTTGGCAAAATCAATCTTATGTTGGCAAGTATTATCCCTGCCCACCCGCCCTCTATGTTCTTAGAAGATAAGTCATTTGCCAAAATCAATCTTGTCTTAGCAGGTATTAGCCCTACCCACCCGCCCTCTATTTTCTTATAAGGTAAGTCATTTCCTAAAATCAATCTTGTCTTATCAAGTATTAGCCCCACGCACCCGCCCTTTATTTTCTTAGAGAGTAAGTCATTGCCAAAATCAATTTTGTCTTAACAAGTGTTAGCCCCGCCCACCCACCCTCTATTTTCTTAGAAGGTAAGTTATTTGCCAAAATCAATCTTGTCTTAATATAAATAATAATAATACTACTTTATTGACCCCATTTTTACAAAATATAAATACCTATAATTCTATATAATAATAATACAAAAATAAATTAAAATAAATAAAAATAAAATGACCAAATAACTAAAAATATATATCTATAAATAAACTAATAATTCAATAAATCCCTAACACAAGATCTTAAGTCATTTGCCAACATCAATCTTATGTTAGCAAGTATTATCCCTGCCCACCCGCCCTCTATTTTCTTAGGAGATAAGTCATTTGCCAAAATCAAATTGTCTTAGCAGGTATTAGCCCCACCCACCCGCCCTGTATTTTCTTAGAGAATAAGTCATTTGACAAAATCATCTTGTCGTAGCAAGTATTAGCCTGCCTTCTATTTTCTTATAAGGCAAGTCATTTCCTAAAATCAATCTTGTCTTATCAAGTATTAGCCCCACCCACTCGCCCTCTATTTTCTTACAGAGTAAGTCATTGCCAAAATCAATCATGTCTTAACAAGTATTAGCCCCGCCCACCCGCCCTGTATTTTCTTACAAGGTAAATCATTTTTCAAAATCAATCTTGTCTTAGCAAGTATTAGCCTGCCTTTTATTTTCCTAGAAGGTAAGACATTTGACAAAATCAATCTTATGTTAGCAAATATTATCCCTGCCCACCCGCCCTCTATTTTCTTAGAAGATAAGTCATTTGCCAAAATCAATCTTGTCTTATCAGGTATTAGCCCCACCCACCCACCCTCTGTTTTCTTAGAGAATAAGTCATTTGACAAAATCATCTTGTCTTAGCAAGTATTAGCCTGCCCTCTATTTTCTTATAAGGTAAGTCATTTCCTAAAATCAATTTTGTCTTATCAATTATTAGCCCCACCCACCCGCCCTCTATTTTCTTAGAGAGTAAGTCATTGCCAAAATCAATCTTGTCTTAACCAGTATTAGCCCCGCCCACCCGCCCTCTATTTTCTTACAAGGTAAGTCATTTTTCAAAATCAATCTTGTCTTAGCAAGTATTAGCCTGCCTTCTATTTTCCTAGAAGGTAAGTCATTTGGCAAAATCAATCTTGTGTTAGCAAGTATTACCCCTGCCCACCTGCCTTCTATTTTTCTAGAAGGTAAGTCATTTGGCAAAATCAATCTTATGTTAGCAAGTATTACCCCTGCCCACCCGCCCTCTATTTTCTTAGAAGATAAGTCATTTGCCAAAATGAATCTTGTCTTAGTAGGTATTACAACCCTTTTCCCTTCCAAACTCCATCTACCACTTTCCATATCTCTTTCACTCCTTCTGTCCCGAACATCCACGCTTCGTCCTGGATTCCATCCCCTCCCGGTGCTTTTCCTCTTTTCAGTCTTTCAATCTGTCTTCCTATTTCACCTTCTGTTATTTCCGAACCTCTCCACATTTCTTCCGTCGTTGTGATTCCTTTGTTTATTTTGCAACATTTTTCTCACAACCTCCCAATAATTCCGTAAAGTGTCTTTTCCATTCTTGTATTTTGATTTTCCTACGAAGTATCTCCATACTTCCTCTTCTGTTTTCAGGGACTTTATTGTCTTCTCTTCTTCTCGTTTTTCTCTTTTTCTTTCTTCACATTTTCTCCTATAATACTCTTGCTTTTAAGTACTCTTCTTTCCTTGCCCTGAAGACGCCTTTAGCTTGACTCGTATGACACAGATGTCGCAAGCGTCGACTTAAGTCACTTTCAGGCGACCTTGCTTAAACTGCATACCAGTGCACACACCTCTAATCCCAATTAACAAAAACAAAACTACAAAAACACACATCTATTTTGACACAACTTGCGGTTACCCGATTCAAATTTCGGCAATTAAATTTTCATCTTTCATAAGAGCGTGAAATTGAATAAAAGCCGCATTTCGACACTTCATCTAGATTTCAAAACAATTATTTTGTCAGCGATGGGGTTGGGACAACCGGATCTTCCATTAAACACCAATTAAAAAAACCGACACATTTTCGATCAACTTGTTTGTAAACAACAAAGGAAAAGAAACAAGCGCCTTGGTCGGGGGATCAAGGCTGGAATTTTGTCTACAAAGACAGTTTGCAAGGGTATTCAGAACAAACACCTGGAGTAAGCATTAATTGAAACGAGCTCGAGGACTGAAAATATCGTGGGTAGATTGGGAATACCACGGAGGTTTTTTAAGGTTGTTTTGTTTAGATAAATAACACTGGAAATATTGAAAGGTGAGACAACAATAAAGCAACAACGTCACTGGTTTTAAGAATAGATGAGAAAAAACTTGACAGATTTTATGTTATTTTATTCATCCCGGCTGATTTTTTTCATATTTTTCCATCCTCCCATTTAATGATTCTGTTTTAATCGCTATGTTATTGTAACTATAAATAAGCAGGTTGAGTTAATGCGTCAAGTTTCGCGTAATTAATTTACGGAATTGTTCAGAGCTCATCTTAAAGTCCGCGTAATTTTTTTGTAACTGAAAAAATTGTGACGAATGCGTGGATAAAGACGCTTTATCGCTCGTTTACATAATCTCGACTATCAAATAAGTGAACGGTACATGCTGTCGCGATTTCCCAACGCAGTGTGATACCGGAACCGACTCGAAGACCAATAAACTGTAAAATTTCTATTGGCTTTAAATATTATTCATTGTTATGTAAAAGATCATAATTTAATATAGACACTCACGTAATCCATAGGATGTACCATTAATGGTATGTTACATCGTAGCAGGGCAAAAATGAAACTTGTTTAACAGTTGACTGACAGAAACGTTGAGGAAGTGTTCGGTTATTACGCAATAGTTGATTGATTGGTTGGTAACATGAAGAGTGAAAGCACTTTTTGATTATTGTTTATTGTTTGGTTTGCTGCAGGGATCGTCTCACATACCCTGACTATTCAATTATAAAACAATACACTATAAACAAGAAAGCGTAAAAATATTCAAATTTTTGTATAATCGTGCGAAAGAGATTAAATCAGTGCTGTAACAAATTGCCTTACAACTAGTTAAACATGAAAGAAAAAAACGTGTCAGCTTTATCTAACGATAAAAGTTTGGAAGAGTGGCGAAAAATTGTTTCTTTGAGTGTAATGATAGTATTAATGTTTCTAGGTATTACCCAAGGTCAAAAATGTGGAAAAATTCTTACAATAAAATTTCGCTTTAATTTAATCATAATCATATACTATGTCAACGGTCGTAATTTGAAAACTAATAATTATAAAAAAATTGTCGATACATAAATTTTTGATGAGCAAATAATTTACGTCGAAGGAATATTACTAATATATTTATTATTAATTATCGTTCGCGTGACATCTGATAGCATACAGTTTCTACGTTTAAATGGTAATAAGAATTAATTAATTATTATTTGTAATTGTCACATTATAGACGTAAGTTCGCTTCATAAACATGTTCAAATTAATTATACTTATAATTATTTTCCAGGTATAATTATATAACAATAAAACTTGTTTTGAAGCGTTTGTATTTACGGGCTTTACTTTCTTTATGTTTAAGTCGTTATTACGATTTTATTTTATTGCTGATAAGTCCGACGGGACACAAACAACAATTCTGAAAGTATGTGTATATCTACATTATGTTTCGACAGAGCCTTCACATAGTTTCATGGCCGACTTGTAGTATACTATCTTTATTAATAGACAATGTAGTGGTTCATATCCTTAAAAAAACCACCTTAATTCCTAAGAGCCCGTTTACACAACTTCTCCCAATCGTCAAATTTCGCAAATAATATTTACTACGATTCTCATTTAACCATTAACACACATATTATGCTTAATTCTCCCCACAAGCCTTTCAACTGCATGTCGTAACTCAGCATATTTTATTAATAAGTAATTATTTAAATGTAAGTCGATTAAAATCTAACCAGTATGAAACCCCACGCCCAGCTCAAACAACGTAACCTCTGCCTGCAATTTTCGGTATCCGCATCCATGTAACCACACCTTAACGCACGTTCATCTTAAAGAAAGCGACATTTCAACCTTCCGCCGAAAACCCATAAACCCGACGTTTCATCATTTCGCCAACACCAGCACTTTCCATTTCCATGCCCAGTTTCCACGGCTTCTCCCCACTCTACCATCGACTTTCAGTTTCAAAATCAGCGCGTCTTGAGCTCGCAGATGCGGAATGTCGCGTTGTGGTGAGGTTGTGCAAAATTGCTGAAATTTTCGCGCTTCGGTACTTCAGTGTTGTGTTGCGGCTGAAAAATGGCACCTAAACAACGCCACCCTTTCATCGACGGGCTGAAAGACGTCCCCGTCGAGCGAAAAAAGGAAATGAACAAAATTAAAATTTGGTGAGTGAAGAAGTACAGCGCAAGAAGTTGATAAGAGTTGGTTTTTGAGTTTGCTGATAGGGAATGTAAGCGTTGTTGGTTTTTGCGCTGGTTCCGGTTTAGCCGGAAAAGTCGTGTTCAAGAACGTCAAGTTTGAGGACTAAGTATTGGAGTTTAGCCATGATATTAGGATTTGGTTGTGGGGTGTCATTGGTGTGTAATTTGGCGATTTAGAGGTAAATTTTGCTGGGTGATTTACATTCGTGGGAATAGAAAATGCGGATGTGTGGAAAAGTTTTGTCGCCAAGGTTGTAAAAAGCGGAAGTACGAGTTGGCTGCGTTTACGCAAGATTTTTTCGTTCAGAGATGTGATAAAATGTAGGTACAACGGGGCGCGAGCTTCATTTATTGTTATTCATTAGCTACAATTAATACCTCATTAAATACAAAAATCGTAATAAGCTTATTAAGTTGAGTGAAAACTGGTTGCTATAATTTAATGTTTTTTCCGTAGACGAGCTGGCTCTAATTCAACTACATTCATTTTTCTGTATATATTATATGGGATTAAAATTTAATTATTCATCCCGTCAGCGTCAAAATTTATTAAACAAATACGTATTTGTCAAAACTGTGCTTCAAGATGAAGAAAATGCTTCAATTAATTTATTCTTTAAAGAAAATATAGTCATCTATTTTCCCAAAGTTCCGGGAACACAGTACTATTTTTTATTTTCATCTTTTATAAGCGTAGCCACAGAAAAATAATATCACCTGTTCAAAAATGACTGAGGCTGTTGGCAATACTTTTTAAACAAAATTGTGAACTTTATGTTGGCGTAACGGAAGTGATTGTGTGACAGATATGTCAACCGTGACATGCGATAAATTTAGGTTATGTTTTAGCTACATTTTGCAAATTAAAAATGTCAACAATCGGTCATAAAGTTTGAAAAAATCTCCCAGGTCTGTGGTGTTTTCTTTTTGAAAGAATTTGGAAAAAATTCGGGGGTCCCTGGTGTTTTATTTTGAAAAAATTTAAAACTCCTCGAGGAACACTGGTGTTTTAATTTTCCTTTTTTTTTTTAATATACACAGCCATCTTTTGACAACAAGAAACTTAAAACTTGTTTAATATGGTAATGTTTGCAACGAAATATGGATTTTGCAATTATGGGGCGGAGCCTAATTGCAAAATCGATATTTTTTTATACAAATTTTCCACTTTAAATATGTTTTGTTTCATGTTGTGTAAAGAAGTCTACACGTATTAAAACAAAAAGGCAAAATGTCAGTCCGCCCACCCGCCCTATCTCAATTGTAATGATTTTTGTTATTCGCTGTGACCCAAGAGGGCGGAGCTTATCTGCAAAATACTTATTTCTTTACAAGAAATTAAAAAAAATGTTCTTGAGTATCATTTTGTTCAAAAAATCCCAAGTATATTAAGAAAAAAGCAAAATATTTACCCCGCTCGCCCACCCCGTTTCAATTGTGATGATGTTTTTATTCTTAGAAACTCAAAACACGTTTAAAATGGCAAGAGAAATATGGATCTTTCAATTAGGCTCCGCCCCTAGCTCTGGCAACGAATGAAAACTTCATTTAAATCATAGCTGGTATGGGTGGGGCTTAATCTTTAGCTTTAATTTTTTCTTAATATGCATAGTATTCTTTAAACAACAATGTTTTTAATTTCTCGCAGAGAGATGAGAATTTTGCAGTTGAGCTCCACCTTCTTGTCTCACGACGAATAAAAAAAATCATTACAATTAAGATAGGGCAGGTGGGCGGGGCTAATATTTTGCCTTTTTTCTTAGTATACATAGCCATCTTTTCACAACAAGAAACTTAGAACATGGTTGAAATGGTACATGTTTGGAAAGAAATATTGATTTTGCAATTATGGGGTGGAGCTTAAATACAAAATCGATATTCCCTATACAAATCCTCCATTTTAAACATGTTTTACGTTTTTTGTTGTGGCAATATGTCTACATATATTAAAACAAAAAGGCAAAATGTAAGCCCGCCCACCCACCCTATATCAATTGTGATGATTTTTTTTATTCGTTGTAAAGGAAGAGGGCGGAGCTCAACTGCAAAATTCGAGAGATAAGAATTTTGCAGTTGAGCTCCGCTTTCTTGATTCACGACGAATAAAAAAAATCATCACAATTGAGATAGGGTGGGTGGGCGGGGCTGATATTTTGCTTTGTTTTCTTAATATACGTAGCCATCTTTTCACAAACAAGAAACTTAGAACATGGTCAAAATGGTACATTTTTGCAAAGAAATATGGATTTTGCAATTACGGGGCGGAGCCTAATTACATAATCGATATTTCCCTATACAGATTCTCCATTTTTAACATGTTTTACATTTCTTGTTGTGGAAATAAGTCTACAAATGTATATTAAAACAAAAAAGCAAAATGTAAGCCCGCCCACCCGCCCTATCTCAATTGTGATGATTTTTTTTTATTCGCCATGAACTAAGAGGGCGGAGCTTAGCTGCAAAATACTTATTTCTTTACAAGAAATTAAAAACATGTTTTTGAGTATCGTGTTGTTCAAAGAATTCTACGTACATTAAGAAAAATTCCAAAATATTAACCCCGCCCACCCACCCCATCTCAATTGCGATGATTTTTTTTCTTAGAAACTTAAAACACGTTTAAAATGACAAATTTTTGTAGGGAAATATGGATCTTGCAATTAGACTCCGCCCCTAGGTCTGCCATCGAATGAAAACTTCATTATTATTTACATCATAGTTGATATGGGTGGGGCTTTATCTTTGGCTTTAATTTTGTCTTAATATAAATAGTATTCTTTGAACAACACGACTCTCAAAAACATGTGTTTCATTTCTTGTAGAGAAATAAGGATTTTGCAGTTAAGCTCCACCCCCTTGACTCACAGCGAATAAAAAAAATCATCACAATTAAGTTAGGGCGGGTGGGCGGGGTTTATATTTTGCTTTTTTTCTTAATATACATAGCATTCTTTGAACGACACGATACTCAAAAACATGTTTTTAATTTCTCGTAGAGAAATAAGGATTTTGCAGTTGAGCTCCGCCTTCTTGACTCACGACGAATAAAAAAAATCATCACAATTGAGATAGGGTGGGTGGGCGGGGCTTATACTGTGCCTTTTTTTCTTAATACACATGGTATTCTTTGAACAACACGATACTCAAAAACAAGTTTTTAATTTTTCATAGAGAAATAAGGATTTTGCAGTTGAGCTGCGCCTTCTTGATTCACGACGAATAAAAAAATCATCACAATTGAGATAGGGTTTGTGGGCGGGGCTTATATTTTTCTTTGTTTTCTTAATATACATAGCCATTATTTCACAACAAGAAACTTAGAATATGGTCAAAATGGTACATTTTTGCAAATAAAGATGGATTTTGCAATTATGAGGCGGAGTCTAATTGTAAAATCGATATATTTTTTTAAGTTTCATGTTGTAAAAAGAAGTCTATACTACTAAAGAAAAAAGCAAAATATAAGCCCACCCACCCGCTCTATCTCAATTGTAATGTTTTTTGTTATTCGCTTCGAACCAAGAGGGCGGAGCTTATCTGCAAAATACTTATTTCTTTACAAGAAATTAAAAAAAATGTTCTTGAGTATCATTTTGTTCAAAAAATCCCATGTATATTAAGAAAAAAGCAAAATATTTACCCCGCCCGCCCACCCCGTCTCAATTGTGATGATTTTTTTATTCTTAGAAACTCAAAACACGTTTAAAATGGCAAATTGTTGTAGGGAAATATGGATCTTTCAATTAGGCTCCGCCCCTAGGTCTGGCAACGAATGAAAACTTCATTTAGATCATAGCTGGTATGGGTGGGGCTTAATCTTTAGCTTTAATTTTTTCTTAATATGCATAGTATTCGTTGAACAACAATATTTTTAATTCTTCGTAGAGAGATAAGAATTTTGCAGTTGAGCTCCGCCTTCTTGACTCACGACGAATAAAAAAATCATCACAATTGAGATAGGGTGGGTTTGCCTTTTTTTTGTTAATACACATAGTATTCTTTGAACAAACGATACTCAAAAACATGTTTTTAATTTATCGTAGAGAAATAAGGATTTTGCAGTTGAGTTCCACCCCCTTGGCTCACGACAAATAAAAAAGATCATCACAATTGAGATAGGGCGGGTGGGCGGGGCTAATATTTTGCCTTTTTTCTTAGTATGCATAGCCATCTTTTCACAACAAGAAACTTAGAACATGGTTGAAATGGTACATGTTTGGAAAGAAATATAGATTTTGCAATTATGGGGCGAAGCTTAAATACAAAATCTATATTCCCTATACAAATCCTCCATTTTAAACATGTTTTACGTTTTTTGTTGTGGCAATATGTCTACATATATTAAAACAAAAAGGCAAAATGTAAGACCGCCCACCCACCCTATATCAATTGTGATGATTTTTTTTATTCGTTGTGAAGGAAGAGGGCGGAGCTCAACTGCAAAATTCGAGAGATAAGAATTTTGCAGTTGAGCTCCCCTTTCTTGATTCACGACGAATAAAAAAAATCATCACAATTGAGATAGGGTGGGTGGGCGGGGCTGATATTTTGCTTTGTTTCTTAATATACGTAGCCATCTTTTCACAAACAAGAAACTTAGAACATGGTCAAAATGGTACATTTTTGCAAAGAAATATGGATTTTGCAATTACGGGGCGGAGCCTAATTACATAATCGATATTTCCCTATACAGATTCTCCATTTTTAACATGTTTTACATTTCTTGTTGTGGAAATAAGTCTACAAATGTATATTAAAACAAAAAAGCAAAATGTAAGCCCGCCCACCCGCCCTATCTCAATTGTGATGATTTTTTTTTATTCGCCATGAACTAAGAGGGCGGAGCTTAGCTGCAAAATACTTATTTCTTTACAAGAAATTAAAAACATGGTTTTGAGTATCGTGTTGTTCAAAGAATTCTACGTACATTAAGAAAAATTTCAAAATATTAACCCCGCCCACCC